CTCTCTCTATCTCTCCTTATTCTCTCACACACTTCATTACCGGATTGAGTGTGACAATAGTGTGTGACAATAGACGTTGTCAATCGGTCGATAGAGTGCACACATGCATGCATCCACCTGTGAGATGAACAGAGCGTGATTAGAGGTGGTTGCGCGTTTGTAACCGGTCGCGCGATTAATTTATGACGGAAATCTTAATGATATACTCGACCTTGATCACTCCTCCTCCAACGCCTTTCGCGCTGTGCTATGTATATAAAATGCAAAAATAACGAATTACGCAATATTTTTGACCAATCGCACCTTCGCTAATACTTCGTTGTCAAGAAAGAAGATGGCTCTATCGCGAACAAATCTCCTTTTTTCTTTTGCCACTTCGCATGAATTTTGCTCACATCTAAAAACTCGCAAAAGAAAAAGATACGGTTCGGCAGAAATATTCTATATGTCCGATGGTCGAATCCCATTTTTCAGAAAGCAATCTTTTGAATAATGTTAATTGCAGCGGGGTCAAGAGATCGTTGACTTCGGATGAACGCAATTCGATCGTTATTACGAAGGGGAGAGAATCTATAGCTTCATCCGCTGATGATGAAGAAAATTACGTTTGTTCCAGTTTCGCGAAAAAATCATATTATAGAACTTTAATTTGCAGTATTAAGAGAAGTAGATGAAAAATTCACGTTGGATATTATTGCGTTCAAGCGATATTAATTCAGTGACGCCATAGCGTATCTTATCCATTTATCTCAGATAAAGGTGAAAATATTTATTGTCGAAAAAAAGGCTGATTCACCGATCGTCAAAATAAATAACTAATTAATGCGTCTTAATAACGCACAATGGAGTCACTTCAATTTTCATGTAATTATCAAGTTAGGCGATGCGAACTGGTTGTATAATACGCTGTATAATATAAATGCGAATATTATAGTAATTATACGTTCAACAAGTTTGTAATTGATTCAACAACGTTAACTCTCAGATTGCGTAAACTCTGATGCAATATAAATTAATTTTTTCCCACTATACAAAATATAAATATTAACAGATTTAAATAATTAGAAATTTAATATTTGACTTTAAGGGTACACGCAATGTTGCGTACGCATTGTACATGCAGTGCAATTTAATGTACATTAAAAGAAAATGTACCGTGAGCTTCCCCTTTCGGAATGTAAAGATTAAAAATGTATTTCAAAAAAATTAACCAAACCAAATACGAAGAATCTATTACTCAAAAAAGAGATCATTCACGAATTCGTATCGTTGCTCGATTTTTTTTTGTTCCAGCTACAAGGTAGTTCCACGTCACGAGCAATAATAACGCCGAGCGAATGGCGAGAGCCGTAACTACAGCGGGTCGATCCATCGCCGAAGGTCGGCGGCGGAAAGATAGCGCGCGGGCCTCCGCGCGGGTCGAGTGCACCGAGTGCAATGCCGATGCAATTACGGCCGAGTCGAAGGCGACGTACGGCGCTACACAGTGGCGTCTTTGAATATGGACAAATGGGACAAGTGGCACCTGAATCTTAGATAACCCATCCATCGTGAACAATGCTAGAAGTGTCACACTTAGTTATTTCTGTCAGATCATAATGTCACACGCAAAAATTTGGAACAAATATATTCCTTGCCGTTATCCGTTCGTTTAATCACTTTAGAACTGATTAAAGACTTTTGGTAAGAAAAGAAAAAAAAGTTAGAAATAAATATTTAACGAAGAAATGAAGAGGTAAATTGAAAATGCGACTTGAAAGATCTGCACTCGGAATTATTGAGTGTGAAAAGTGTTGAAAATAAAAAATTTTGATATACTTAACTTTTTTATACTTTTTGTACTCTATATTTTTAATTAAAAAAAGTTAATAAGTTCTTTCTGTGAATTCGCTTTTTACTTTCTCATTCTGTTTGGTTAGTGCTATGGAATTCCTAATTAATTTCGTTATCAGGGGCCTTTGAAGCTACGAAGATAATTCTGACGCTCTTGCCTTCCTGCGAGCAGTAGATCAGATCGACACTTACATGAGCACATTCACTAGTGCACACATCGCAGCGCGTGCAACGCTAATTCACGGAGCTTATGTGGCTCCAGGAACAGGCAGACTTGGCCTACTTTGATAGCAAGCGCGTTCACATGGCGTCTAATCTCCGCACTCCCCCGCGAACGATTGACGTTCGACGTCGAGAATTTCGGATATTTCGGAATTTACACAAAGCTCTGTGTACGTATCGATAGTTCAATACACATACAAAAGTGAGTTGTATGTAAACAAAATTTCTCGATTTATATGACTTCGTATTATTATTAATTCGTATGCCAATTTGTCGCAAGACCTTACCTGCTCTCTACGCTATGACACGAAGACGATAGTCGTCGGTACTCACCCTCCTCAGCTGGCAATTCTGCAACACAAAAGAGAACAAAAACATTAAAACATGTTCACTTCGAGTGATGAAATAAAAGAAAATATATGTTCGTGAAACTAATAAATAAACGTAATATTGATCGAGCTGTTGACGTTTGTTAAAAGACATTTTTACTCACAGGTTTTTTTTTTAAATTAATTAATTTAACAAACGCCTTTTTAAAACAACCTTATAATTGGTATTGCATGTAAATAAGTATCTAAAAAATATTTTGAAAAATTTGTTGGGGCGTTTAAAGCTGAACGATAATTGCTTTACAAATACGCGTATGTGGAGAAGTATTTATGCATTTCTGAAGTGCTCTGAAGGATCCGCTTTAAGATGTCCTACTTCAAATTACACAGAGATGCCGAGAACTCGAGAATCCCATAATTTTCATGACGCGGGCAAATTGGAGGAAACCGCGAAAACGAATCTAGCGTGCGAAATGGGTGTATTCTGGCTAAGCGAAACGTGCAGTTGACAGTCGGTGAAGCGTTAAATCTTCGGAAGATTTATAGTGGACAGTATGAATCGCTGTAATACGAGAGGGATCGGAGTCTTATGGAAATTTCATATTATTGAATTTTGGTTACAACTTTGCACACATTAATACGAGTCCTTTCAATATCAATATGAAAATACAATATCGAATTTCGCGAGTTATTTTCAAAACGTAAAATCATAAATTACATGCACGTTAAATTTTGTCAAATGCATTTCAGAAAATATATATTATGTAAATATTGAGAAATATTGAGAAACTTTTATCTTATAAAAAGATTGTAGTGTACTATAAAGTTTCAAATAATATCATATACCTAAATATAATACTAAAATCAATCGTTGTAACGACGATTCGAAAGGTCAGACGTGTATTTTTGCTTTAAACTGGAAAATCTTGGATCTGGTTTCACGAGGTCGATTACTCTCTCGAGCGTTCATTAATGCCTCGAAATTGGGTGTGTAGATACGCGTGTAGGACGTTGCTGTATTTCTGGAGTTCTAATAGAACCACCGCATAAATATTTACGCATCGAGAAACTCACAATCTCTCGTAAGATGAGCTTTACGTTGCCTAAGAAAACACGATGAAAACACGATCGAGTGTTGTTATCGTACGTATATCAAGGTGTGACAGGGTCAACGTATCCCTTATCAGCTTCGAATTTCTCAATGCAGAGTAAATAAACTTTACTCTTTAACATCAAACATCATTTTATTTCCACAACAATTCTTATATTTTGAATTGCATATTCTCTATTATATTAAATATAAATATTTTAGTATTTATAATCGCGGATTGTAATTCTATCCTGGCGTAGCGCCAGGATGAAAAGCAAATGTGACAATTAACGTTTTGTTAAAGGATTGAGGACGGACGTCGGAGAATATCATTCGCCGTGGAAAAGCACCTGTCTATCGACGCGAGCGACCCGTTCGTGATACATGTGGTGACACGTGAAGAAAAACAGAGACACGTGGGTGTCATTGATTCGTATACTGGATCCGCATAGATTTTCCTTCAATGACCGTCGCGCGATTGACGTGTTCAACAGAGAGGACACGTCGCGCTTCCCGTGAAACGCACATCGAACCACCACATCTGAAAGGCTGCGTGTAATTCTCCAAGTTGCACAAAGGCAGGCGTGAAAGCGTTTGTCGCGCGAATAATACCGTCAATTTCACATCGATTTGCACGCCGCCGCAAACTCGTTAATTCGCGCCCAAGCGTTACAGTTAAGAGCGGTATCGAGATTTGTAATTGGTACATTGCAATTAGTATTCAGAGCTGATATTAATGTATACCTGTATAAAAAATAGTATTAATAACATATTCGATATCAGAGAAGAAAATCTACGCCTGTGTACAGTGGCATTGTTATCATTAATTGACGACGTTAATTTTAATCCTTTATACGACTCGCAAGTTGAAACTTTTCCGACATTGTAATTTTCTGTTGGAAATGCATGTCGGGAGGGATTATATTTCCTTACGTTACACATATTGCAAACACGCTTATGCATAATTCTTGTTTTCTCCTTGCATTATGTATTATATGTATTATTTAAGTATGTTAATTTCCTTATTAAAAGATTACAAACTCTTATTTTAAAATACATCATAAAATTAATAACAAAAGATATTCAACTACAAAATGTTCAAATTATCAATTGTAACAAAATTAATTGCGACATCTTTTACTCCGATGAAGAATAAATCGTCTTTCTTATGCAATGCACCTTAACACAAAGCTATTTTAGTGCCACGACATTATCAATGTTACAACGTCGAAATTTCCATATAGAATAGTCTTTCAGTTATCGCCTGTGTAAGATCAAAGGTAACGAGAGACTAATGCAATGAATATTCAATATTGTAAGAAAGGTGTATCGATGCCCGATAGCGCCGGAGCATCGTAAGCACTGCCTAGGTGTCATGCGAGTGGCATCGATCGCGCTTTTACGCACACTACAAATACGAGAGTTAGTTTACGGGAGGCGGCATCACGCCGGGACGGAAGCAAATGCGGCACGTCGGGCACGATCGAGGACAGGCGGGAAAAAGTGTGGAAAAAGCTGAGAGTTTTCCCGCGCCGTGCGAGAGCGTCACGGCTACGAATTTATCACGCGACAGCGAACGGCCGCACAAAGCCGATAGATACGTGCGACAAACAAATCCGTCTCCGGTCGTGCATTGAACGACACGCGCCACTGGCTCTGTGTGTGCCACGTGCTCTAATTTTAGCCCGCGAACTTACGCGTCCGGCCGGGTTACGAGATGGCAAATAAGTTCCGGGTTCCCGAGTTTCGGCGAACTTGAAAATTTCGACAATAGCCTGCCGGGACAAACACGCGTGATTTAGCGCGGCAATGAACGATATTTATACGAAATGTAATGTGAATATTACACCGCTTTGTTTCCAGCGGAATATATCTGCGCAATTCTATACATTTTAATACTTTTTACGCGAATCTCGTACAACGTTAAATTCTGAAATTCCAAATAAAAACGAATGAACGATGTGGCGGCGTCAAGATTTATACGTGAATTCGACGTTAGTCAGCACGCTCTATTTTAACCAAAAATACTACGAATTATTACGGTCGTGAACAAGTATGAGAAGGAACAAGCGCGCGTTTACGTTCTCTTCTACTGAATACTATTCGAGGGACTAAAGAAAATATACATGTAAGAAGAAATGCGAGAGGGAAATGTCAAGAGGGATGGAGGTAAAAGACGGAAAAATGTGACTTGCACTTTGCGGCTGGAAATAACAATAAATAAATAATGCTGTCGTAAAAATGTGTAAGTTCCTTTCTCCTTCCACTCGCCTCATCTGTTAACCTTATGACAACATGACGTTTTGGAACTTAATATCAGGAATAATGCAGTTGATAAATGTAAGTTCAACACGGATGGAAGATAAATTTCGCGATATGTGCCCGATGCATTTCCACGCTTAAGGCCATCCGCAAAAACTAATCTACAACCGCGCCTGCGATAGACAAAAACGTCAGCAGCGCGAATAGATGAGCGAGTGATATTAACACATATATGTATCGAGCGCTTATTTGTATATCACACAGCAGTACTCGAGTGTAGAGAAGATAAAACAATATTGTTTGAGTATACTCGATCGACCACTTATGTTACGCGAAAAAAATTCTCGATTGCTTTTCACTCAGATATTTTTAATCGCAACATATCGCGAAATTCACTTCACAATACTTTCAAAATTCTGAATATAAATAAAAAAAAAGTTCAATATATTGAAATCAAGTAAATCGTATTTAATTATTCTCTCTCTCTATTTCATTATTTTAGTATCATAAAATTTATGATGTATAATTCTTCTTAAAAAATCAGTGTTATGTACTTATGAAAATAGAAATGTATTTAAAATGATATGCATATAGTATTATGTAAATGAGCTAGGATAGGTCCTTAATATTAAAAAAAAAGCAAACTTCTTGAGTTTCGCATAATTATTTCTGATTCGTACAGCTGCCGTTTCAGAAGCAAAACTTCGAAGATAACTGTGTACGTACTTTGAAATCGACGTATGAAATCTACTAATTAAAATCAAAACGCTATCCATATTCTAAATAATAAAAAATATATTTTTTCTATCTCAAAAATGTTTAAAACATTTTTCTTCCGTTTCAAAAGTTATACAAATAAGTTAAAAAAATCAGGCTTAAAACCATTTTAAAACGAACATAATGATGAATGTTTTTACTGGATTCAGTGTTTAACTTTGTATTTTTGAAAAGACTAAACTATATGCGATGTTAGAAATATAAGAATAGCAATTTCCTAATATCGATTAGAAATATAAGAATGGCAATTTCCTAATATCGATTAGAAATATAAGAATGACAATTTCCTAATATCGATTAGTCACATTACTTGGCTCAACGAGACTGCAGTAAACTTTGTTGGCGCTTATGCGAGTTTCCGCTGGAAGTTCTCGTCGGAGCCTCGTTACCGAAGACGCGTCTACACATATCCTTGGCCGAACGTAATTGTACATTCATCCATTCGCGTCTATTTGCAACGATTCTGCAACTTTTCTTTCTGACAGTTATGCTTGCAAGATAAGCTGTGCGTATATCTTTATGCATTTTCCTTCGCAAGCTGTACAAGGATTTATTTATACAGCTGCGAATCAAAAACACGTTGTATTCTATATTAAGCTTTTTAGCTTTTTTATAAAACTCTCACAATTTTCTGCATTGCTTCAAAATCATCGCGTCATATATTTTAAAATTAAAATCCGATTAAACATCCATTTAAAATTATATTTTAATAAAAATTCGTTATTTTAACCAACGTTACACATTGAATTATTTCCACGATGCGACAACATTTACTTCTTCATAAAAATTATTTATTTTAATCCAAATAAAATTCTACGCTTTAATCAACGTAACGTAATGACATCATTTCGCGACACGGCTTTCAGAAATTTGGCATTCCGGCAGTTTTAAGG